AATAAATGTTCAAGAAAACAGGAGAGCACTCGAATACCGCGAAGATATCCGAGTCCAATGGAAGTTCATATCACAGTAACCGTTGTATCTGACGTGGTGTTACTTTAATTACTTTAATTCAAGGCAAATACAGCCCTTGAAATGTGTACGTGTCTAATTATTGATTTTGCCGTTGCAGTGCCTCCATCAGTCAATGTCACCATCAGCGCCAACAGCACTACAGTCATGACGGTCTCATGGGCACCTAATATCACTGTAGACGTTGACTACTACATTGTCTACTTGAATGAAACCAATAACTCAACAGCAGTGAAGAGCTACAATTTGACCTCCACCAATACATCTCAAGTGTTTACAGATCTGGTTCCTGGTAGAAGTTACAACGCATCTGTAACAGCGCACAGTGGCAATGGCTCCCAAGCATCAGCCATCGTCACAGCCAGGACATGTACGTATATGCAACGTTCATCCTCGTGTAATGGCTTTGATGTTTGATATTTGTTCAAAACATGCTCAAATATCGACAAAATTTAAAACACTTATTAAATTTGTCCCCAATTGTTGACAACATTAAATAACGGAATTAATACGTCTTTAATGATGGGCATCATATGAAGTAATTCCTAAGAATGAAAAAGATTACGTTTGTTGCGTATTTTTAATTGTACATTTGATAATCGGTACACATTCATACTCTTAGGTTTTTTCGGCAAAGTCACGTAGGTAAAAAATAAAAATAAATAATAAAAATAATAGAAGTAATAATAAAAATACAATTTTATTTTATTTCTATTCTATTTTTTTTTACATTTTTTACCTACGTGACTTTACCGAAAAAACCTGAGAGTATGAATCCTTGCATTCAAGAAAGCTTCAAATCTAGAATTAGGTACACATTCAATCAACAGATGTCGTATATGTTAATTTATCAAACATGTTCCGTAATAAAACATCTGCAAGCTTAGAAAAAGAGAATCCCCAACCCTGTGGTTATGGATTACGTGAATCTGTTCCTAATATCAGTATATTTTATGCATATTCTAGGTATGTGTTGAACTTCTTAGCACCTTATATAGCCAACCGTGTTAATCAGAGGTACGGCGAAGAACAACAAACATTACTAAATAGAAAAATCATTCCAATGTACAGTATATTGATTAACGATGACTAACCCAACCGAGAATAGGTACAGTGCTGCATGTTATCAGATTAGCATAATTCATTGTTATTTATATGACCACATCAACCCCACCCTGGTCATCGCACCTGATAGGCTCACAGTGTTGACATCACCTTTACTCTATTTAAGACCGAATCAGGAAAACTTCTTCACAATTCCGGCAAATTGCCTGATGAAGCTGGTTGCAATCACCAGCAAAACGCAAAATTGTAAATCTTGTGGGTTTAATCTCCAACACACTGTTGTGCTGAAGCAGTAACTGCCATGTTTTTGTTTACGTGACAAACCTTACTAAGTGGCTTTGTCCGGTGGTGGTGGGTTAACGACACATTTATATTTACGCAATCTAACCCAAAAATAACCTTTATTGTGCATAATATTGGTGGTGAAAGCTTACTTTTAGACTGCTTATGCAATTCCGCTCGACACAAGCTTGATGTGAACATTGAGTGCCTTCATTTGGAGGAATGCGAAGCTTCATTATAATCTCTCGAAACGAGACTCATTGAGGCTGTGGCCTTTTCCGGTTATTGGGAATATCCAGCATTAAGTAATATAATGATTTGAACAAGTTTGTATTATATTTATACACCATAGGAGCGTGTTTTATGTATTACTTAACATCAATTAACATGTTTAGAATTCTATACAAATTAATAAATGATTACATTATACCATGAGTCACCATTATTGTAAAGCAGAGGAGGAAAGCTGAAGTTTACTGGATTTGTAAGGCTGAAGAGACTTTTTAACGTAATTGAAGGATTTAGTTTGTTAAATAAATGTTCAAGAAAACTGGAGTGCATACGAATACCGCGAGGATGTCCGAATCCAATGAAAGTCCATATCACAGTAACCGTTGTGTCTGACGTGGTGTTACTTTAATGACTTTAGTTCACGGCAAATACAGCCCTTCAAATGTGTACCTGTCTAAATATTGTTTTTGCCGTTACAGTGGCTCCAAAAGTCAATGTCACCATCAGCGCCAGCAACTTTACAGTCATGACGTTGTCATGGGCACCTGATATTACTGTAGACGTTGACTACTACATGGTCTACTTGATTGAAACTTACAATGTAAAGAAAGTGAAGAGCCACAATTTGACCTCCACCATTACAACACAAGAGTTTAAAGATCTGGTTCCTGGTAGAAGTTACAACGCATCTGTAACAGCGCACAGTGGCAATGGCTCCCAAGTATCAGCCTACGTCACTGCCAGGACATGTACGTATATGGAGCGTTCATCTTCGTGTAATCGCTTTGATTTTTGTAAACACGTGCGCAAAAATCGACATGTTTAATAAACTTATTGAATACATCCTCAATTATCGACATTAAAGAACGGAATACATCCTTAATTATCAACATTCAGTAACTTTCAAGGATTGAAAATGACATGTTGCACATACCGTATTAAAATAACTAATACATTATAAGTTTAATAATGAGGACAGATTAAATCAGCAGGTAATTATTTAACATTATCCAAAAAAGTATGCTGCATTTTAATGTCAATTATCAAACATCGACATGTGTAGTGAGTTCAACTTAGTCTCAGACGTAGAATTGGAGGCAACACATTTATTTAACTCCAGCACATGGGGTAACTGCCCCTTAACAGAATAACAACCTATGGTGGTGACCACCAGTCTAACTACACTAATTACACCGTAAAGAGCTACTACGGACCGGGACCACAGCTCGGGTCCAGGTCCCTGTGTTGGAGACTCGGAGAACGTAAAACGTTGACGAAGGTTTCTTCAGGATGAACAACAACCCCGGTCCCCCTCGGGACCCGGCTTCTATTCTCTGTGGCGTTTCAGTTTCATTTATTAGGTATAACCCTGTGAGCCATGCGGCTCTTGACTCGGGTGCAACCGCAACAAACAAAAACATGAACAAGAAACATCTTAAAGTGACTACACGCAACAGCAAAAATCCTGGAACAAAAATGTAACTTGCGTGGCTGGCTCGGCCCTTGGCCACGACCACCTTCCAGAATCCTCGGGCAGGATCTGGACCCCGACCATGTGACCACCCCTAGCCCCCGTTAAGGGCCCCTTTGTAGACTTAACCGGTCACTATCCTCTCCGGTCAACCAGAGTGCCATGGCCTTTAGTAACCTCATTCCTACAGCCGGCACTCCCACACTCTGTCCTGTAGGGTTGGCACTGCACGTGAGGTGTTGTGCAACCTAGCGCTATCAATCAGCGCTCACCGGGCCCCTCTAGGGCCGGTACTACACTCCCACCCTTGTGGTGTCCGCGATGTCGTTACACCGCACGCCGTGTCTGTGACATCCCGCGATGACACTACACATGTATAAAATCCGAACCATTTTTCGATAATTCAATCATCTCATTCAAAAAGTTAATTCCTCTAATTCATTCTAACCTCATTCAAAAATGCATTCCATCCGGCACCTTCCACCAGGCTGTCTGATGCTCTCTTTCTTGCCCAGCCTTTGCTAGGGACCCCGTTACTAGGGACACCGTTACTAGGCACATTGTTACTAGGGACACCGTTACTAGGGATGCCGTTACTAGGCACACTGCTACTAGGGATGCCGTTACTAGGCACACTGTTACTAGGGACATCATTACTAGGGATGCCGTTACTAGGCACACTGTTACTAGGGATGCCGTTACTAGGGATGCCGTTACTAGGGACGCCATTATTATGGGCTCCTATCGCAAGCCTGGCGGTCCTCACGGCCAGCAGAGAACAGTTTTAATTCCCAGTACACATCAGCTCGCGAGTGTAGCAGGATTTTGTTTTCTGTAGTCCACATAAAGTCGCAGACTAATTTAAATTTTTGCTTGCACACCGTCTGATGACCTGCTTTGAAACAATGACTAATTCACACCTTCATCTATGGAAACATGGATTTGTATTAAAGTTGAACAAGTTCGTACAGTGGGACTTCACATGGATATATTTTTACACTGAATGATTGATTTCTTAATAATAATTAGGTAAATCTTGACTTAAAGCTTTCGTAACTGCAGGAATTCATATTCTTTGGGTCTTTCGGTAAAGCCACGTAGATAGAAAAAATAATAAAATCAAAATCACGACGTTTCAATCGCAACACAAGTAATCGTCTTCAGAGAAAAGAGGGGGGAATCTGCTGAAGCAGGCTGTTTTGTAAAGGTTCAGAGATGGGAGGGGCAGCTAATGTCAATGAAGGAGAGGAATTTAAGGGGCGAGTAGGAGAGACGGACATGGGGAGGGCCCTCCGAGCTCCTCTGTAGTGGATAGCCGCCATTTACTGTCTCACCTTAAGGTTGGCTGTGTTAGTGAATGTACCCAGCTAACATAGGTAGGTAGGATAAGAACATCTTAGCCAGTTATGACCTAAACTAGTTAATAACGTCCTTCCAGTGATTGCTCAGTTTGTACCCATCTTTTAAGGTGGTGGGCACACTTGAATTTGAAGGTACTCTGCAAACCCACTGGCTATCAGCAAAGATTCGTTCATGAAGCCATAATAATTAGGTCCAAGTATACAATGGAATACACTTTGACGAAACGTTACAGTATACCATGAGTCCCCATCATTGTAAAGCAGAGGTGGAAAGCTAACGTTTACTGGATTGAGAAGGGTGAAAAGATTTTCTGACGTAATTGAAGGATGTATTTAATTTGTAAAATGTTCATTAAAATAACCCATGAATTCCACGTGGATGACCAAGTCCATATCACAAGCATCGTTACCGGTGTATGTGATGTGTTGTATATTACTTTCATAACTTTAGTTTATGGTAAAGGCAGCCCTTGAAATGTGTACGTGTCTAAATATTGTATTTGCCGTTGCAGTGCCTCCAACAGTCAATGTCTCCATCAGCCCCAGCAACTCTTTAGACGTGAAGGTCTCATGGGGACCTATTATTGCTGGAGACGTTGACTACTACATTGTCTACTTGAATGAAACAAATAACTCAGCAGTAGTGAGGAGCTCCAATTTGACCTCCGCCATTACAACGCAAGAGTTTAAAGATCTGGTTCCTGGTAGAAGTTACCAGGCATCTGTAACAGCGTACAGTGGCACTGGCTCCCAACCATCAGCCATTGTTACAGCCAGGACATGTACGTATATATGCAACGTTCATCTGTGTGTAATCGCTTAGATTTTTGTAAACAAGTGCTCAAAAATCGACATGTTCAATAACTCGTTGAATACATCCTCAATTATTGACATTAAATAACTTAATGCATACTTAATTATCAAAATGCAGTAACTTTCAAGAATTGAAAATTACATGTTGCACGTACTTATAAAATCAACTAATGCACTATAAGTGTAATAATGAGGACAGATTAAATCAACAGGCAACTATTTTAAATTGTAAAAAAAACATGATGCATTTTAATGTCGATTAATTATCAGTTTAACACGTAGGCGTTTAGATCGCGATCTGAACCCAAAAACGTTGATTATGAATCGATTAATTATCAAACATCGACATGTATAAAATACCACCCGTTCGAAAATTCAATCATTTAATAAAAAAATGAATTCCTCTAATTCATTATAACTTCATTCAAAAACTCATTCCATCCGTCACCTTCCACCAGGCTGGCTGATGCTCTCTTGGTCAACCAGCCTTTGCTATGGACGCCATTACCAGGGACACCGTTACTGGGAACGCCATTGCTAGGGACGCCATTACTAAGGACGCCATTAGTCGGGACGCCATTACTAGGGACGCCATTGCTAGGGACGCCATTAGTCGGGACGCCATTACTAGGGACGCCATTACTGGGAACGCCGTTGCTAGGGACGCCATTACTCGGGACGCCGTTACTAGGGACGCCATTACTCGGGACGCCGTTACTAGGGACGCCATTACTCGGGACGCCATTACTAGGGACGCCATTACTAGGGACGCCATTACTAGGGACGTCGTTACTCGGGACACCATTATTAGGGACACCATTATTAGGGACGCCGTTACAAGGGACGCCATTACTCGGGACGCCATTGTTAGGGACGCCGTTACTAGGGACGCCATTACTCAGGACGCCATTGTTAGGGACGCCGTTACTAGGGGCGCCGTTACTAGGGACGCCATTACTAGGGACGCCGTTACTAGGGACGCCATTACTAGGGACGCCGTTACTAGGGACGCCGTTACTAGGGACGCCGTTACTAGTGACGCCATTACTAGGGAAGCCATTACTAGGGACGCCGTTACTAGGGACGCCATTACTAGGGACGCCATTACTAGGGACGCCGTTACTAGGGACGCCATTACTAGGGACGCCGTTTTTAGGGACGCTATTATTAGGGACGCCGTTACTAGGGACGCCGTTACCAGGGACACCGTTACTAGGGACGCCTATCGCAAGCCTGGCGGTCCTCATGGCCAGCAGAGAAAATTTTTAATTCCCACTACACATCAGCTCGTTAGTGTAGCAGGATTTTGAATTTTGTAGTCCACATAGGTCGTAGAATCATTTATATTTTTGCTTGCACACCATCTGATGACGTGCTTTGAAACAATGACTAATTATTACCTTCATCTATGGAAACATGGATTTGCATAGAAGTTCATCAAGTTCGTACAGTGGGACTTGATACAGATATATATTTACACTGACTATGGAGCGTGTATGATTGATTGCTTAATAATAATTAGCTACATGTTTACAATTTAACACACTTTGACAAAAGATTACAGTTCAATACGAGTCCCCATCATTGCAAAGCATAGGTGGAAAGCTTAAGTTTACTGGATTTGTAAGGTTGAAAAGTCTTTCTGACGTAATTGATTTGTAAAATGTTCATTAAAAATAACCCATGAATTCTAGTCCATATCAGAGAAATTATAACTGTTGTATCTGATGCGTGGTATGTTACTTTATTAACTTTAGATTATGGCAAATGCAGCCCTTGAAATGTTTACGTGTCTAAATATTGCATTTGCCGTTGCAGTGCCTCCAAAAGTTAATGTCACCATCGGCATCAAAATCTCTACAGCCATGAATGTCTCATGGGCACCTATTATTGCTGTAGACGTTGACTACTACATTGTCTACTTGAATGAAACCAACAACTCAACAGCAGTGAAGAGCTACAATTTGACCTCCGCCATTACAACACAAGAGTTTAAAGATCTGGTTCCTGGTAGAAGTTACCAGGTATCTGTAACAGCGTACAGTGGCAATGGCTCCCAACCATCAGCCATCGTCCCAGCCAGGACATGTACGTATATATGCAACGTTCATCTTCGTGTAATCGCTTTGATTTTTGTAAACAAGTGCTCAAAAAATCGACACGTTTAATAACTCGTTGAATACATCCTCAATTAGTGACATCAAAGAACTTAATGCATACTTAATTATCAAAATGCAGTAACTTTAAAGAATTTAAAATTACAAGTTGCACATACTTATAAAAAGAATACACTATAGGTTTAATAATGAGGACAGATTAAATCTACAGGCAACTATTTTACATTATAAAAAAAAGCAAGATGCATTTTAATGTCGATTAATTTTCAAACATCGACATGTATAAAATACGACCCATTGTTCGATAATTCAATCATCTAATTCATCCGGCACCGTCCACCAGGCTGGCTGATGCTCTCTTGCTCGCCCAGCCTTTGCTATGGATACCATTACCAGGGACGCCATTACTAGGGACACCGTTACTAGGGACGCCGTTACAAGGGATGCCGTTGCTAGGGACACCGTTATTAGGGACACCGTTACCAGGGACACCGTTACCAGTGACACCGTTACCAGGGACACCATTACTAAGGACGCCGTTACCAGGGATGCCGTTACCAGTGACACCGTTACCAGGGACACCGTTATCAGGGACACCATTACTAGGGACGCCGTTACCAGGGACACCGTTACTAGGGACGCCGTTACCAGGGACACCGTCACTACGAAGTCTGTTACTAGGGACGCTGTTGCCAGGGACGCCGTTACTAGGGACGCCGTTACAAGGGACGCCGTTACCAGGGACGCCGTTACTAGGGACGCCGTTACTAGGGACGCCGTTACTAGGGGCGCCATTACTAGGGACGCCGTTACTAGGGGCACCGTTACTAGGGACGCAGTTACTCGGGATGCCATTACTCGGGATGCCATTACTCGGGATGCCGTTACTAGGGACGCCATTACTAGGGACGCCGTTACTAGGGACACCGTTACTAGGGACGCCATTACTCGGGACGCCGTTACTCGGGACGCCGTTACTCGGGATGCCGTTACTCGGGACGCCATTACTAGGGACGCCATTACTAGTGACGCCATTACTATTGACGCCGTTACTAGGGACGCCGTTACTAGGGACGCCGTTACTAGGGACGCCGTTACTAGGGACGCCATTACTAGGGACGCCATTACTCGGGACGCCGTTACTAGGGACGCCGTTACTAGGGACGCCGTTACTCGGGACGCCGTTACTAGAGACGCCATTACTCGGGACGCCATTACTAGGGACGCCGTTTTTAGGGATGCCATTATTAGGGACGCCGTTACTAGGGACGCCGTTACTAGGGGCGCCATTACTAGGGGCGCCGTTACTAGGGACGCCATTACTCGGGACGCCATTACTAGGGACGCCATTACTAGGGACGCCGTTACTAGGGACGCCGTTACTCGGGACGCCATTACTTGGGACGCTGTTTTTAGGGACGCCATTATTAGGGATGCCATTACTAGGGACGCCGTTACTAGGGACGCCATTACTCGGGACGCCATTACTAGGGACGCCGTTACTAGGGACGCCATTACTCGGGACGCCATTACTAGGGACGCCGTTACTCGGGACGCCGTTACTATGGACGCCGTTACTAGTGACGCCGTTACTAGGGACGCCGTTACTCGGGACGCCGTTACTAGGGACGCCGTTACTAGGGACGCCATTACTAGGGACGCCGTTACTCGGGACGCCATTACTAGGGACGCCATTACTCAGGACGCCATTACTAGGGACGCCATTACTAGGGACGCCATTACTAGGGACGCCGTTACTAGGGACGCCGTTACTAGGGACGCCGTTACTAGGGACGCCATTACTAGGGACGCCGTTACTAGGGACGCCATTACTAGGGACGCCATTACTAGGGACGCCATTACTCAGGACGCCATTACTAGGGACGTCGTTACTAGGGACGCCATTATTAGGGACGCCGTTACTCGGGACGCCATTACTAGGGACGCCGTTACTAGGGACGCCGTTACTCGGGACGCCGTTACTCGGGACGCCATTACTAGGGACGCGATTACTAGGGACGCCGTTACTTGGGACGCCATTGCTAGGGACGCCATTACTAGTGACGCCGTTACTAGGGACGCCGTTACTCGGGACGCCATTACTAGGGACGCCGTTACTAGGGACGCCATTACTAGGGACGCCATTACTCGGGACGCCGTTACTAGGGATGCTGTTACTCGGGACGCCATTACTCGGGACGCCGTTACTCGGGACGCCGTTACTAGGGATGCCGTTACTCGGGATGCCGTTACTAGGGACGCCGTTACTCGGAACGCCGTTACTCGGGACGCCGTTACTCGGGACGCCGTTACTAGGGACGCGATTACTAGGGACGCCGTTACTAGGGACGCCGTTACTCGGGACGCCATTACTATGGACGCCGTTACTCGGGACGCCGTTACTCGGGACGCGGTTACTCGGGACGCCGTTACTCGGGACGCCGTTACTAGGGACGCCGTTACTCGGGACGCCGTTACTCGGGACGCCGTTACTCGGGACGCCGTTACTAGGGACGCCGTTACTAGTGACGCCATTACTCGGGACGCCATTACTAGTGACGCCATTACTAGGGACGCCGTTACTAGGGACGCCGTTACTAGGGACGCCATTACTCGGAACGCCGTTACTCGGGACGCCGTTACTAGGGACGCCGTTACTAGGGACGCCGTTACTCGGGACGCCGTTACTCGGGACGCCGTTACTAGGGACGCCGTTACTAGTGACGCCATTATTCGGGACGCCATTACTAGTGACGCCATTACTAGGGACGCCATTACTAGGGACGCCGTTACTAGGGACGCCGTTACTAGGGACGCCATTACTAGTGACGCCATTACTAGGGACGCCATTACTAGGGACGCCGTTACTAGGGACGCCGTTACTAGGGATGCCATTACTCGGGACGCCATTACTAGTGACGCCGTTACTAGGGACGCCGTTATCAGGGGCGCCATTACTAGGGACGCCGTTTTTAGGGACGCCATTATTAGGGCCGCCGTTACTAGGGACGCCGTTACTAGGGACGCCGTTACCAGGGACACCGTTACTAGGGACGCCTATCGCAAGCCTGGCGGTCCTCATAGCCAGCAGAGAAAAGTTTTAATTCCCAGTACACATCAGTTCGTTAGTGTAGCAGGATTTTGAATTCTGTAGTCCCCATAGGTCGTAGAATCATTTATATTTTTGCTTGCACACCATCTGATGATGTGCTTTGAAACAATGACTAATTCTTACCTTCATCTATGGAAACATGGATTTGCATAGAAGTTTATCAAGTTCGTACAGTGGGACTTGATACAGATATATATTTGCACTGAATACGGAGCGTGTATGATTGATTGCTTAATAATAATTAGCTACATGTTTACAATTTAACACACTTTGACAAAAGATTACAGTTCAATACGAGTCCCCATCATTGCAAAGCAGAAGTGGAAAGCCGAAGTTTACTTGATTTGGAAGGTTGAAAAGTCTTTCTGACGTAATTGATTTGTAAAATGTTCATTAAAAATAACCCATGAATTCTAGTCCATACCAGAGAAATTATAACTGTTGTATCTGATGCGTGGTATGTTACTTTATTAACTTTAGATTATGGCAAATGCAGCCCTTGAAATGTGTACGTGTCTAAATATTGCATTTGCCATTGCAGTGCCTCCAAAAGTTAATGTCACCATCGGCATCAACATCTCTACAGCCATGAATGTCTCATGGGCACCTATTATTGCTGTGGACGTTGACAACTACATTGTCTACTTGAAAGAAACCAATAACCCAACAGTAGTGAAGAGCTACGATTTGACCTCCACCATTACAACACAAGAGTTTAAAGATCTGGTTCCTGGTAGAAGTTACCAAGCATCTGTAACAGCGCACAGTGGCACTGGCTCCCAACCATCAGACATCGTCACAGCCAGGACATGTACGTATATATGCAGCGTTCATCTTCGTGTAATGGCTTTGATGTTGACATTTAAAACACTTTCTCCCCAAATATTGAAAACATTAAATAACGGAATTAATACGTCTTAAAGGATCGACAGCATATGAAGTAATTTCCAAGAATTAAAATGATCACATTTATTGCGTTCTTTCAAAAGTAACGATAGGCCCCAGCAAGGCAAAGTAATTTACCCTTTTTACCGGGTATAAGGGAAAAAGTAAAGGTGTCGACCCGGTAGGGTAAGTGTTGCACGAAGTATATTACCCGGTAAATACCCTGTTTACGCTAAAAGCTCCGTGGCATAGTTCATGACCTCTATTTTAAATCGGGAGTATTCTATATGAATAAAGCGCTCTACCTAGCGTTTGTCTGTTATAAACATTTTTCATGTGTAGTGCCCCAGTAATTACCTATAATCGGGTAATCTGTATGGGGTAAGGGTAAAAGGTAGGTTAAAGGTAGGCTCGTTGCTTTTACCTTTTACCTTACCTTGCCGAGGCCTAAGTAACAAATGAATTGTACATTTGATAATCGGTACCCATTAAATCAACAGGTGTTGTATATTTTGATTTAAAGCTTTCGTGACTGCAGGGATTCATATTCTTGGTTCTTTCAGTAAAGTCACGTAGAAGGGAAACAAAATAATAAAAATATAAAACAATACAATTCTCACGACGTTTCGATTGCAACACAAGCAATCGTCATCAGGTGTGAAAACCACAGGAAGAAATTTTGAAAAAAGTGGCGGTTTTTTCTTAACGTTAGCACCACGGACAGCGACTTGGCATTTGTTCAGATGGACGAGTCCATCTATTTTCGGAAAAGAGGAGGTGGGAGAAGAAGATAATGGAACGCGGTCTGAAAGTCACCGTAAGCGTGAACACAATCAATTAAGACTTGAAAGGGTTGATCAAATCCTTCCAATGATTGCTAAGCCGGAATCCATCTTCTCGGTTGAAATTGTCTCTGTGTTTGTATATGTGGATAGCCTTCTACGTGACTTTACCGAAAGAACCAAGAATAGGTGTTGTATATGTAAAATTATTAAACATGTTCTGTCATTAAACATTTATGAGCTTAGAAAAAGAGAATGCCCAACCCTGTGCTTATGGATTACATGAATCTGTTCGTAATATTGGTATATTTTATGCATATTCTGAGTATGTGTTGAACTTCTTTAGCACCGTATATAGCCAACCATATTAATCAGAGGTGTGGAGAAGGACAACAAACTAAACTAAATACAAAAATCATTCCAATGTACAGTATATTGATTAACGGTGACTAACCCAACCAATAATAGGTACAGTGCTGCATGTTCTCAGATTAACATAATTCATTGTAATTTATATGACCACATTAAACCCACTCTGGTATTCGCACCTAATAGGCTCACAGTGATGACATCACCGTTACTCTATTTAAGACAGCACCAGGAAGACTTCTTCAAAATTCTAGCAAATCGCCTGATGAAGGTGATTGTAATCACCAGCAAAACGCCAAATTGTAAATGTTTGGGGTTTAATCTCCAACACACTGTTGTGCTGAAGAAGTAACTGGCATGTTTTTGTTTACGTGACAAACCTTACTAAGTGGCTTTGTCCTGTGGTGGTGGGTTTATGACATTTATATTTACGCGATCGAACCCAACAATAACATTTATTGTGCATAATATTGGTGGACAAAGCCTACATTTTAGACTGGGCATGCAATTCCGCTTGACACATTTCTGATATAAACATTGAGTCCCTTATGGAGGAATGCTTAGCTTCATTATAATCTCTCGAAGCGAGACTCATTGAGGTTCTGACCTTTTCCGGTTATTGGGAATATCCAGCGTGTAATTAAGATAATGATTTGAACAAGTTTGTATTATAATTACACATCACACGAGCGTGTTTGATTTATTACCCCATAGTCATTAACAACACGTTTAGAATTTAATAGAAATTAATAAATGATTACAGTATACTTTGAGTCCACCATAATTGTAAAGCAGAGGTGGATATCAGACGTTTACTGGATTTGGAAGGCTGAAGATATTTTCTGACGTTGTTGAAGGATTTAGTTCATTTGTAAAATAAGTGTTCATAAAAAAAGCACTCACGAATACCGTGACGATGGTGTTTTGCACTCCTATCATTTTTTGCATTGTTTACTGTTTGTACATCGCGGACCACCGTGCCCCCTACTGGACATATGTGAATAAAGAGCGTCCTCGCTCTACGGATTCCTGCTTCCTGTTTAAATTAAAGATTCTGATTCTGGATGTCCAAGGAGTGAAATGGAAGTCCACATCACAGAAATCCTAACGGTTGCGTCTCGTGTGTCGTACACTACTTTTGTAGCCATAGTCCATTGGATATGTTGCCCTTGAAATGAGTCTGCGTCAATGATTGTTTTTGCCGTTGTAGTGCCTCCAAAGGTCACAGTCAACATCACCATCGATGGCAACATCATCTCTCCAGTCCTGACGGTCTCATGGGTAGCGCCGACTTCAGATGTTGACAAGTACACTGTCTACTTAAATGAAACCGAAACAAATTACAATAAATCATTTATTAATTACCCTAACGTGTCATCTAATGCTACAAGTTTTACTGGTCTGGTTCAAGGCATGAATTACAATGCATCTGTAATAGCTCACAGCGGGAACAACTCCCAAGAGTCAGACATAGTCTCAAACAGAACCTGTAAGTACCACACCTACATACCTTTTACACCCATTATACTAAGATTCCCTTACATTTCTGTCGTGCTGCACTCGTTATTGATGCCTTTAATCGGTCAGTTCAGATTGCCAAATGTATTCTTGTTGTCAGCCTTTGACTGTCCGTATCTTGTCAAGGCCTCCCCCATTCACGTCTATTCCTGTGTTAGTCATTGTTCTTGTCTAGTGCAGTAGAATCCGTCGTAATGACGCTAACTGGTTCCACGAAACCGGTCGTCAAGTGATTTGGTCGTTAAGCGAGTAGATGTGTCCACTTTAAAGCGCAGCAGACACCGAACGTAAACAATGCCCCAACGCTTACGAATGGACGTCACTGATTGGCCGAGGCCTGGCCAGTCCACTTTGGAGCTCGCCGATTGGCTGAAATTGACCGTCTAGTGCTCGTCTCTAAGCCGGTCGTTAACCGGGTGAATGGTCAGTAAGCGAACACATTGGGCTCTATGGAGGTTCATCGTTAAGTGATTTGTCGATAGTAGGGGTTATAACAGGGGTTATCGACAGATAACAAGAGATGTTCTACTGTACAGCAAAAGTTCTGTTATCCAGCATACATGGGGAATGGAGGGTGCTGGTGAAATCAAATATGCCGGTTATCTGAGAGTTATACTTATGGTTCACCAAATTTACCAAGTACATAAAATTTCAAGAAATAAAGTACGCCTCCATTTTAACGATGAGATGTGACATAACATACTCTTTTAACAGAGGGAGTCACCAGTCAGTTGTAGAGCATTTTAAGTTGATTGGAGAGAAGCATTGGCGGCCGTTAAGAGTACAGTATACAAACTAGATTAGAAGCTTTCATGACTGCAGGAATGAGTCTCTTTGGTTCTATCGGTAAAGTCACGTAGAAAGAAAATAAATTAAATAATAATAGAATACGACGTTTCGATTGCAACACAAGCAACCATCATCAGGTGTGAATGAATGAGAAAACAAACCTAGTAAACTAGGAAAATGTAATGCAATACAACACAAAGAGTCGGCTAACACAACTGTCAACACCCTACCTGGTTGATTACGTTCTTCCAAAGATTGCTAAATTTGAGAGACAAAACACAGACAATGGAGGAAACATAGACATACACACAAGCAAATAGAGACACACAGAGACACACATAGAGAGACACAGTATTATACAGTAGTATACATATGTAGTGCTAAACTTTACACGGACAACTTCTTATTTTTCCATCATCACTTTATTTTATCAAACTCAGCACAGTCCACAACCAAGACTTCAGCACGTTCTCCGTTCGCTCGCCGCGCTCCGCTGGTCTCGCTCGCTCCGTTCCCTCCCTCTCTCTCTCCGTCTCTTTCTCCCCCGACTCTCCTCTCTGCTTCGCCCGTCTCAGCTTCGACCGTCTCGCTCTCCCTCGGATTCTCCGTCTCACTCCGACTGTCTCTCTCTCATCTCCGTCTCCAACTGTCGCTCTCTCTCGGCTTCTCCGTCTCACTCCGACCATTTCTCGTCTCGTGTCTTCTCTGTTCCCATTCCACTGCTAGCCTATCCTTTCTCTCATCTCTTCTCCTGCTCCACTGCCACCCTATTCTATTTCTCATATCTTCTTCTGCTCTGACCGTCTCCGTCCAGCTTTCAGTACAACTCCCCGTCTCACTCTCACGCTCCCGTATTTATCCCCGTCCTCATTAATTTCCAATTAATTAACCGGCGTTCCCCTGATGCCCCGCGCCCGTGGCCCCCGCCGCCACCTGCTCCCATCCCCAGACTTACTGGCGCCACCTTGTCTTGGACAACAACCGGCCAATCACTGTCCTGCATCCCATAATTACCTAACTAGCCGTCTCTCCCCGGCCGTTGTCCCCCAGCAACACCTGCTTGTCCTGATGCGACCCCACTGTCCATAACCCAAACGTGTTGACAATTTCCCCCCTTGGCGCGCGTTAATCCACTACATATACTACAGTATACAGTAGCAAGGCCGTAGCCATGGAGTCAACATTGGGGGGGACCAAATCTTCTAGGGGGTCTGGGGGTCCGGGGGTCCCCCCCAGAAAAAAACATCTAAATTTGAAAACTAATTTCCTGCCTAAAATATTTAAAAAAATCACTAACACATAGCATGGACCTTTTACGTATTTTTTTACAATAATGTCTAGTAGTGTATTGTATTACATTGCTCTGTTTTTTCTTTTTTACCTTTTCTTGTTTCATTGTATGTAATGGCAGAGATTAGGGAGTAATGAAGTACAACCATAACCACAATAATATAAACACAAATCTATTTTATAGCAGTATATGGGGGGGGGGGGGCATTTTGAGCATATTTGAATATTGGGGGGAAGTGTGTTCCCCAATATATATTATAATTATAATTACGGCCTAGTACAGTACTGTATGTACAAGCTGCCGCAAGCGCCAGCACTCGTTAGCATTCTGAAGCTCCCGTAAACCACAGCTCCACCATAATCACATGCAAGATGCCAGATGGCTGTCGAAATGTTTCCAGATGCGTGAGGGAAGATTTTCATTGGCGTCTATTTGACGGAAGCCGGTTAATAGAGCATTCCTCATTTTCCGTTCTCAATCTCTCCTACCCCTAACCGTTATCCCCTTCTCATTGTGCACAATCACCATACTCTTTGGTTCTTTCGGTAAAGTCACGTAGGTATAAAATAAGTAAGTAAATAAAATCAACGTTTCTGCACCTCCTTTCTTGCCCCCTTGCACCGGAACACACTTCCCCTCCACATGAAGCAAGAAGCACCCTCCCTGTCGAGTTTCTGCTCCTCCCTCAAGACCCCCCACCTCCTCTCCCTGGCCAATCCTTCCCTCCATCCCTAGGTACCCCCGCAATTCCCGTACCCGCTAATCTCCCTCCCCATACCCATGCTATTCACCATATCACCTTTAGCTACCCTAATTGTACCACTTACAACCCTTGTAAAACGCCTTGGATAAAGGTGCTATATAATTATAAGATAAGGTAAAGTTCTAGGTAAGAGAGCTTATGCTGTCATCGTGGTTTCTGAATTTTTTTAATTTTACCTCGCCATCTCACCAGCTGTAGTCATCTGACTCTTTTGCCTTCTTTCATTCCACTTTCTCCGCACACATTGTGAATGTGTTCAGGGAACAAGATCAACACCAGATTGCAGCGAATGAAAATAAAACACCCCCAACATCCACAGCATGAGACAAATGCCTGACTAGCAGTGTGTTTACTCCAGATCTGGAAATACAATCCATTCTTGTTGTGGCCTTCTTGGTCTGTGATCTTGATTGGAGGCGAGTGTACCAAAAACGCTTTAGAACCACTGGTCTAGAGGTTTGGTATTTCGGGAAAGGTATCATCAAGCCAAATTCGTGTTTCCTTCACGAAACCAGTGCGATCCCTGTCTGCCTCGAAACGGATTACCAACAAATTTTTACTTGGAATATCCTTTTTTTTCTTTACACAATGGGAGTTTCGTGACAGTCAAACCAATATTTTTAATTCCAATTTGGTTGACTGCAACTTTGGTGGAAAGCCATCAGCTTGGCAACTTTAGCCCTTCTCCCGTTCCGCCAAGTTGCAGGTAGTGGGGTGTCCTATTCACCACCGAATCTCGGAACGCTCGAGTGGCTTGGTGTTAATTTCATTGAGAGAGGCCTAGTAGCAGCGCCGTTGTTTTTAAAGATATTGTTACTTACCGCAGAGAACCTCAGCAACACGACTTTCCCCTTCTAATGACGTAAAAACTGATGACGTACACACCTACATGCGTACAGACGTACGTCCTCAGTTTTTACATCACTGATGACGTACACACGTACGTACCCTTTCCCCTTCCGATGACGTAAAAACTGATGCCATAGTGCGTGCGTCATAAGTTTTGATGACGTACATGTTTACTGATGTAGGTGTGTACGTCATCAGTTTTTACGTCATCGGAAGGGGAAAGGGTTAAGAATCAGGTTAAATCACGTGTGGCTGAAACGCCGGATTAGATCCCAAGATCTTGGCGACGTCAGCTCCGTGTCTGACCCCCGAACAAATTGTTCACTTCTCTATCAGTGTTCTTCACGGGGGAGTCATAGTCTTAGCACACGTCTGTTTTCATGACTTATTTTATTTTGGTGGCTGGATGGCTCAAAATAAATGTCTTGTTGATGTAATAAGATGTGAAATATCTCATGTAACATCATGCAAGAGCCTTAAGCATATGTCCCGAAGATATCAAAGACATGGGCCCAGGGTTACATCCTAAAGTTAATCTAATAAAGTACAAGATTCTGCAAGTATAATATTCACTGAACTTCAGAGCAGTTAATATTTTTGGGAATATATTTGATGACGACTGTGAGTATAGCAGTGCCATTTTTGTTTATTGTACAATGTTGATCATCATGGTTATATATCTCTATCCTTTTACAGATCCAGCACCTGTCGGTGCATTTAAATGTTTCCCGAATACGTCGACGAATATTTACTGCAATTGGTCTCTCCCCATTGGTGTATTTATGGATATTCTTTTGTGGGTGTCTGATAACTCTACTGTGGTGCAAAACATCAGCATTTTCAATGGCAAAGACCCCTCTATAAGCACATCTCCTGACAAGCAACCAAAAGTAAAATTACTGTCGAGCACAACAACCAATAAAACGTTCATCACAATTGAACAACTGAAGCCGAACACTCTTTACACGGTCAGCATCGCGGTCATTGCCGGATCTCTGCAAAGTCAAATCATTGAAAGCACTGCAAAGACTGACTTGACCGGTGAGTGAACGCGTCCATCTGTCGCAAATGCACATGCGGTAATCTGTGAGTAGAGGAATCTAGTGCAGCGAAACGTCGTGATTTTTATTTTTATTTTATTTTGATGTTTTACTTACGTGACTTAACCGAAAAAAACCTAAGAATATGAATCTTTGCAGTCACGAAAGCTTCAAATCTAGAATTGCAGCGAAGTCTCTTTGTAACATCTGTCAGAATACTTTTTGCAACAGATTATTTCGTACAACCCCCCCCCCCTGCCCCCCTGCCGGCGTAAATATGGCAAACAAATAACGTACAGTCTGTTCTCCTACAATGCGGTAGTAGTTGTGTTCCTGAAGAACAACCGCATTATGGAAAGATCGCGTTGTCTATATACCTAAAGACCTTAATCAGAAACTGTGTACGTCTTAAACATCTCTAGGGTACTTCCCGACAAGGTAGAAAGCTGAAATTCGGTTCACGGGTAGCTTTTAGGACACAACAACAGGGCGAACTCTGAAAATCCGAGATGTGTCATTTTAAGGCCCCCAAATCTCGATTGCAAGTGCCCCAGAAAAACACAGTTGTGCACGTGGTGTCATTCAGAAACCGTTCAAAATATAAGATTTCTGTTTGTTCGTTTAAGATATTTCGGATTCAAGCAGTTTTAAGCAAAAAAAATCTGCATTTTATGATCTTCACGTCTGAATAATTAGAAAACGCTTAAAGATAGGAGCGATTCCCCTTGTAGACTATTACGTTAATTACTTTTAGTTCTTGCAAATAAAAAAAAGAACGGAATCTTTTAATTGAGTGCTTTTTGATGGGTACGTCTTTAAAAATAATAATTTGATTAAGATTGTCAACACTTTTTATATTCGTTTGTTGTTGGAAAAATACCACATTTTTGAAGTAGTTAAACGGTCTGATCGTAGGTCAATGTGCAATTAATATAAAAAATATGTTTTTGTAAAAAATCACCTCAGGTTCACTATTATATTTATTAAAAAGTTTGCTTGGCGAAGACAGCCCCTTCATGAACTCGTAATAAACAATGTATAATATAGGAGGTTAGTTTAACACGTAGGCTTTCGCGACCAATGTTATTCATAATCAACGTTTTTGGGTTTAGATCGCGTTATTTATAAATGTGTCGTAACCCTCCACCACCCGACACGGCCAATCAGTAAAAAAGTGTCACGTTGACAAAAGACAAATAGTTCACTGCTTTAGCCCACCGGTGTGTTGAAGCCACAACATTTAGAATTTGAATACGACGTTTCGCTGGTAATTGCATCCAGCATCATCGGGCAAGGTGAGGCTCTGCTGTGTCTCCCGTCCTTATATAGAGCAGCAGCAGCGTGACGTCATCATTAACTCATCAACTCATCAGGTGCAAAGATTCAAGGGGGGAGTGATTGTAATTATATACTAGATTAGTAATCAGGCTATTGTTACGATGCGAGTTGTAGATTAGTAATCATTTGAAATTGTTTGGAATGTGTTTTATTGTGATTATGCTACATTAGTAATCAGTGTTTGTTTCCCTTATAAGGGATTGTAATGCATCTTATTTAATAATACGCTTCCAGGCCGCACTAAGCCTGTAGCTGTCTGAGCGATTAAAGTTATTTCTGTTTGTCTCAATTTCAATCGATTCTCTAATTAGTCTTTGCCAGTAGTAACTAGTTTTACACAACACGTGCTATGCGAGACGCAGGCCGAACCAAGATCAAAGCACGTGGGTAGCGTCTAGAAGCATCCAGCAGCATCCCGACGCCTTGCGCGATGACGATGACGACGCTACGCCGGGGCAGCCGTTACGATCACTTGTTCCTACTCGCGTGCACGACGTGGTTCCGTTCGCTCGATCGTGTTGCATCCAATTTGCACCCGCGTTGTAGACAAATGTGTCCCCCTCCCCCAACGCGCTCATTGCGGTGTCTCCAATTGGCGTTACGAAAACAACACGCGGCGTTTATGGGAGAATTGACTCCACAAACTTCTTCGTGTTCGCGTGCATCTCTAAACTGAATGGTGCAACTAGCGATTCGTTTTGATTGAAAGCTTTCATGACTGCAGGGATTCATCTTCTTGGTTCTTTCTGTAAAGTCACGTAGAAGGGAAATAATAAAATAATAAAAATAAAACATAATAAAATAAAAATTATCACGACGTTTCGGCCACAACACAAGCAGCCGTCCTCAGCAGAAGAAACAGAGCTGTCTTTCCGACAGCTCTGTTTCTTCACCTGTTTTATTTTTATTATTTTATTATTTCCCTTCTACGTGACTTTACCGAAAGAACCAAGAAGATAGCGATTCGTTCTTCGGGTTTAGGTCGTGTGGGTGCAATGCCAATCAAGAGATATGCCCCCCTCCTCCAACCGACCCGGCCACAGAGATCGAGTCATCACGTGGACAAATATGCCAGTTAATAATATACATATTTTTGGGTTAGGATCATGTAAATATAAATGTGTCGTTAAACCTGCCACCACCCGACACAGCCAATAAATAGTGTTTGTCACGTAAACAGAACGTACCAATTCGTCACTAGTACAGCACAACAGTTACAATCCGAGTCCAACATTTCGCCAGTAATTACAACTAGCTTCGTCAGGCGATGGCCAGATTTGTGGTAAAAAATCTTCCTGTTTCGTTTCTTATATGCCAGTTATACCTCAGAACCTTTACTTAGACTGGAGGAATCCGATGAGCCATGCAGCTCTTTTTCACCAATGTCTAGTAGGGGGCACGGGGATCAGCAAGTCACAAACTGCACAACCTACACGATCAAAACCCAAACAACTAATTACGGATCGCAACAATAGTCGTGAAAGCTTACATATCGTAATTTAGATGTTCTGGCGAGATGTTAACTTACCTCACCTCGTATAGGGAGGTCGTCGGTTCGATCGCGACCCTGACGCCTGTATATATTTGCATGTTCTCCCTGTGGCCGCGTGGATTTTTCTCCGGGTCCTCCGGGTTTTCCCCTTTCAACATTTAGAAAACATGCGTTTTAGAGTATTTGGCTGCTATAAATGTCCACGTGATGATCCTTTGTGTGATTGCCAGGTCGCTTCTGAAAAAGAGCTATGCAGCTTTCAGTGGGCCTTACCTGGTAACTAGGTGGGGAGGGGCTGGTCACCCCGTGGTGCCCTTATAAAACTCAACGTTTAACCTACTCATGCCGACTTGTGCCCGCCCTCACAGTCGGGCATATTTGCGGAATACACCACGCCGCCGTTGACCCTGGCCATTGACCGAGCAACCCAACGTTCCTATCAGCTCCCTCCGCAGGAGGAATGTGTTTGTTAGACTGCGGGAGGAATCCGATCAGCTACAATGCTCTTTTGTCACAGATGCCCAGTCGGGGCACAGGGTCAGAACGTTACAACAACAAACACAATACACACAAACGCGATAGGAGTGCAAAATTAAAGGGAAGGTAAGCAAATCTCTAAAAACACATATATATTTTCAGCAGGCAAAGCCCACTGAGCTATTAGCTTCTTTTTCAGACGTGACCTGGCATTCACAAATGATGGCGCAACGCAGCCACTTAATCATCGTCATCACGTTGGAAATACTATAGCAGCGTGGGCACACTCCCACTTATTTTCCCCCCAAGACCTACATCGGAGAGTCAACCAAAGCGCCCTCGTAAAGGGGGCTCTCCAGAGCTACGTCGAGTCTGTGACGTTCCTGCAAAAGCGGTGGGCACGGGCAAAGTGCTCGCAGGGTTGCAGCGTGACCCTCTGACCTCACCCGCTTATCCGGTGGATGTGCGTGTGCGGGGAGCGGTAGTGGGAGCGGTCATCGTGCCGCGATGCGAACCCGGCGACCCGAGCTTCGATTCCCCGCTCACGAGCACCAGCAACCGAGTGGCGCTTACCTGAATCGCTTCTGGGCCTCCCCTAGATCGACTCGGCCTCAAACGAGTACCTGGGGTGTTTTCTTACACATTGCCACACGACGGGAGACAAATGCGGGCGGGCTTGGTGCTGCCCACCCACCCCCTTGTGTGCCACAGTGCTGGCCTTCATCGGTGCTGCTACTCGATAACGTCACTTGCTCCAACAGTCTGTTAAGGCTACGCAGGGGATCTTTGTCCCCCGCAGAAGGCTGCGGTCCATCAAGACCAAAACCTCACGTCATAAAAACAGTTTTTTCCCATCCGCTGTTGGCCTCCTCAACAAGGCCAAGGGCTTAAAATGACTTTTAGACTTAAAATGACTGTTACACTTCCTATAACATTTTATCTACATAATTACACCGTTCCATACTTACAACGTGTAATTTTATTTGTATTTTTGTATTTTAAGATTGTTTAATACGGCTAATTAACATTTTACATTTCGCATTTTATAAGGTCTACTTATTCATAATTTTAAAGATTTTAGCCCTTTAGTATTACTTATACTTTGTAACGTTAGTATAGTTAGAGTGTATACCTTTTATATAAGTTAAGATTCCTACTTGTTCAATGTATGCACCGTCCCGCCATAGTGAATTCCTTGTCTGTGCAAACTTACATGGCGATTAAAACCGTTTCTGGTTCTGATTCTGCGTATGTCTGACCGCTGTGGCCGCGTGCAGCTCCGCCAGACATTCCGGAGTCGGTGAAGGTCGACTCGGTGCCGAACACAGTGACCTCGAACAGCCTGACCTTGTCCTTCAGCTGCAGCTGGTTCGCCACCACCAACGGCGACCTCAAGTACTTCACGGTCATCGTCAAGGAGTCCGCGGGTACGTGGGCAGGAAAGACGATAACTAATGAAGCTATGTTCTATTTTAGCAGGTAACGCCCACCGAGCTGTGTAGCTCTCTTTCAGAAGCGGCCTGGCCACAAATGATAGCTCGACGACGTGGCCGATGTCGTCGTCTTCATCATCATCACGTGGAAATGTATAGTGGCCAAACTACTCGAAACGCGTCACGTTGATTCTAAATTTGGAGATTAAAACCCGAAGACCTGGAGACAAATCCGTTCACCTTTGAATCTTGGAACGTTCAAGCGACTTGTGGTTCATCTCACTTAGAGAGGTCTAGTAGCAAGCGCCGTTGTTTTTCAAGGCATCGTTACTCACCGCAGAGAAGCGTAGCCACACGACCGCCGCCACTGTATGATAGCCGGCGTCAAAAATGTGCCACGTGCCCTGCCCTGGGGGGAGCCTCGGTACCGGTAACATTATCTTTATGTTTTTCTTCCTGTTTAGTTTTGACGATGTACGCGCACATGTTTAGTCGGAACGGAATTGGAAGAATGGGAAACGTTTAATATTGATAGGAGCCATGTAAATGGAGGACGTTCTGTATTGCTGGGGCAACCACGGGAAATTTGACAAATCTCATACCTCAATACAACTGCGGGTGTTAAGGTATTCAAACACCAAACAGATACCTTTTGCATGGCGTCACTTCTGCATTACCCACACGAAGTACTTGTGGCAAAACGTGCAAACAAACATGGCTCTGATAATGTTTGATGCATTGCCTTGGAAACTGATCGGCCTACACCAGAGACAGCAGCAGCCTTCTTCCCAGCCTTGTCTCCGCACCGGCGTTCGACCAGAGAACATCGCCAAATGCGAACAGTAATCACAAAGACAATGCAAGCGTTGGAGCATTTATAGCTCGGGTTGAGCCGGTTACTTTATTGCCAGCAAAGGGCAAAAACGTATTCTTTATTTCGGATACTGGTAAGCAAAAAAAAAAAGAAGGGTCCCGTAAGATAAATCCCCACCTCGCCACACCGGATGGCTGACGCGTCCCTTCGCTTGCAGAGACGACCACCGATAAGCCCGAGAATAAATGGCCACTGAGCAAGTATTCGGACTACGTGAGCGGCACAACGAAGGTGTACCAGGTGGACGACCGCGTCTACCCCGCCGACTGCAAAAGCCCGAGCGCCACCGTGCAGGTCAAAGTCGGCACCGGCGCCACCAAGGGCGGCTTCGACGACGGTGCGCTGAAGCCGAACACGAAGTACAGGTGCGTTGTCTGAGAAAGTTCTCCTTGTCGTTATCACGATACATATATACGGTGGCGGCTCCTGCAAAATCTCTCAGGGGGGGCAAATGTCTGGATGATTGATAAGGATAAGGTCCACCCATGCAATGGAAAAATTAACAGCTTAAGCATGTAAAGGCAACTTCACTTCTTTAATATTAATGAAAAATAAAGTGACTCTTACAATACATCTTGTTTGTTTCTATACTCACTATTATTACAATCCACTCAGTTTCTTTTATTAAAGATTCCACTAGGTGGCGACAAATAATATTGTTGACTGAAACGTGCTTACGTATGATGACGTAAGCACGTTAGTGCGAGCCCTCCCGGAAGCCATAGAGAATGCATTGGAGCGCCCGCCGTTCGAAAAAAAACATCTTTGAATGTAAGTCTATGGGTACACTCTGGGCGATTATCAGCCAGAGTGAAATCGCCCAAAAAGAGGCGGTACTTTACAGAACGTGACATGACGCTGATTGGACTATATCCAGAGGCACAGTAACTGCTAGCGTAACTCTGTGGTTGAATGACATTGGTGGTGCGTCGCCCAATCGCCCTAATGAAGAAACCGCCCCTGCATATATATATTTTTACACATCTCTTTGCGTTGGTGCTCCGTGAGGCCACGCGTGGTGACGGGGCTACTGCACCGTCCGACACCGTTGGTGTCCGCCCGGTTGCTCGCCAAGCTGCATTGGCTTCCAGTTGCCGAGCGAATATATACGGCGGCGTTGTTGTAAGGCCATCGCACTCGTTGCACTAGGCCATGAAGGAGGCTGTCTCTGGTGTAGTATAATCGCTTTCAACGCGTTTTCAGTAGAACCCCTGTTAACGAGCACCCCCTGTTAACGACTGATCGCTTAAGAACGGGCCTCCATAGAGCCCAATGTGTAGTGTATAGTATTGTAGTGTATAGCAGTGTAGTGTATAGCAGTGTATAGTAGTGTAGTGTATAGCTGTGTTTTGTATAGTGTAGTTTAGTGCCTTTACAGAGCCCAATGTGTTCTCTTACCGGCCATTTCCCTCCTAACGATGGGCTGTTGTAGGTGCAGTAAATATGAATGAATGCATTAATGAAGCTGGGTGTAATTACTGGTGAAACGTCGTACTCAGATTGTAAATGTTGTGGCTTGGCTCTCCAACACACCGGTGTGACTACCCTTACTAGTTGGCTGTGTCGGGTGGTGGCGGGTTTTAATGACACATTTATATATTTACACGATCTAACCCAAAAAAACCTCTATTATGGATGAGATTGGTCGCGAAATCTTACGTGTTAAAATGTGTGTATAATATTGTTGGTTATTTTTACAAATACATTGTTTAAATATTATAAAGAAACTTTTTTTTAACCCTCTAACGTGCATTTCCTTTAGTGGCTTAATGACAAAATCACTTAACGACCGGGCTTTGTGGAAACCAATTGGCGTCATTAAGAGGAGGGGTTTCTACTATAATGTCAAAGCATGTTAGTTTGCATGTTTCACCAAAAGCATGATGCGTGGCGACTGCAGACTTGATGATGCCTCTGGAATAGGTGTGTGGGAGTCTATTTGGGCGTTCAAACATCTTAACACTTTTTTATTTCGCCAGGAAAGGGGTTGAAGCCCATACCTTATTGGTCACCCCGTGCCCTTTATAAATATCAACGTTCATCCGATACACTACACTATACACTGTTATACACGACACTATACACTACTTTACACTACACTATACACTACACTAAAATATACTTGCCAACTCCTTATCAGTACCCTACCTTATTACTATCAATTCAGACCTTGTTGGTCACCCCGTGCCCCTTATAAATCTCAATGTTCATCCTACACAGTCCCATCACACGGGAGAAACACAAACAAGCAGACACATAAAAAAAAGTGTTTGCCCATATTGAAACGGCTCTATGCCGTATGGATCTGAAAACTCAATTTTCCCTGTACAAGAATACGGGGTAAACCGTGTGGGTTTGATATTGTGTGTTGAAGCCCCTTCGTATATTTTTTTATTTACTGTAACGAAATCAGAATATGAACGCGACAGCGCAGCTACGTGGGCCGATCAGGCGCCCTGTCGCGCGGCGTGGAATTTCTCAATGGAAACCCTCCTTGGCGCCGTGCTGTCCTGCCTTTTCACGCGACCTCCCCCTCCCAAACCCCTCCATTCTTCCTGGTGGCACAGGTTCAGTTTCCGTGCGTACACGTTCATCCCGGGCACACGCTCCGTCCGCGCTGGGAACCAAGCCTTCTTCGCGGACACTTTCTTCTCTCTGCCGATCTTGACCTTGGTCGGTGAGTACTATAAACTTATTTTTTTTACCAGAAAAGGTCCACTGAGGGCTATGCAGCCCTTTTTCAGAAGCGACCGTGCTATTGCTAAATAATAGCTCAATGAAGTGGCTTATCGTCACCAATATCATCGTGTGGACGTTCGTAGCAGCAGCCAAACACTTTGAACGCGTGACGTCGATTCTAAATGTGGAGGGCAGAAACCGGAGGACTCGGAGGAGAATCCACGCGACCACGGAGAGAACACACAAACTCTGAAGTTATGTATGTTGAACTTCTTTCTCACCGTACGTAGCTAAATGTGCTAATCGGAGGTGCGGGGGAAGGAAAACCAACTAATCACTAAAGAGCAGTTCAAATAAAGTGAGTTCGTCAATCTAGACGATGATTTAAAAGTGCACGGCTTCAGTGGCTTCCTAATATCAGAAAAAAGAGCGTTCCAGACGGCCGCAGGCGTCAGGGTCCGGATCAAACCCACGACCTCCTGCATACCAGGCGAGGTAGTTAACATGTCGGGAGATGTGATGCTGCGACCCACCCCATGGAGCATGGCCTCTTGCCAGCTTCCGATTGCTGAACGAATACAAATGAACAGCAATCACTCGCTGATCTCATTGAGGACCGGTCGTCATCCTCGCAGCAGCAGCAGCGGCTTCTGGCTCAGCCGCCAAACAAAGATGGTGGTCGCTGCATCGCGCAACGCTGTCAGATTTCCTTCTGCGGCCGTCTGGAACGCTTTTTCCTTCCGAAATTAGGAAGCCACTTTTAAATCATCATCTATATTGACGAACTCATTTATTTTTAACTGCTTGTTGTTGTTCTTGTTGTCTTTCAGTTTGTTGTACTTTCCTTCCGCACCTCCGATTACCGCGGTTGGCCTAGTGTGGTGTAAAATAACTTCAATATACACACGTAGACACGGCGCAGCGCTACGGAGCCCAGCGACCCGAGTTCGAGTCCCACTCGCGACCAGCAACAGTGGCGAACATTCGAACCGGCCCTGGGCCCTCCCCTAGGTCGCTTTAGCAAAAAATGAGTGCCCTGGTGCGGTGCGCAGTAAACATCGCCACTGTCTGCGGCTGACGATGCTGCGTGGGTGACTATGATGACGATGACGAAGATCATGACACGCGTGGTATTAACCAGGGCAGCCGCGGGGCTCGAACCGCGGACCTCTGCAAGAGAGAGTGGAAGAACGCTATCACTCAGCTGTTGTCCTCCCACACTGGGCGATCCCTTCTGTGCCCCCCCCCCCCCCACTGCCCCCCACTCCCATAGGCCCCACAGACAGCGGCGCGGTGGCAGGCGGAGTGATTGGAGGGTTGCTGGGCGGAGTGGCGTTAGCCGCTGGGGGCTTCTTCCTCTACAAGAAGCGGAACCAGCTGTACGTGTGGGTGGTTGGGGGGAGAACGCAACGCACATACACACGCACACACAAAGACACACAATAACAACAAGAACCGCCATTCGCCACTAGGTGGTGGTGATGTCACCACGACGCTTGTGCCAGGCCATGTGCACCTTGAGGCCACGCGAAGTGTCGAACGCCAGCTGGCAGGTCACGGGGCAGACCCAGGTGCCACGGGTCGACTGACTGAGATGACTGGCAGATGCACCACCTGTGCCCCCTACTGTGCCAACTTGCTGTGCTTTAGTCACCCGGCGCTCCGCTCATTGTTGTGAGAGTCACTCCTCCGCCCTCTGTTGTTGTTGGAGGGCCACTGCCTCCAACTGCCCCGTAGCGCCCTTCACGAGCCTCCACTGAGGCCAATCTTGACACCGCTGGTACCAGTCATCGGCAAGACCACTCAGCTCCACGTCCTCCTGTACCACATCACTCCATCTCTTCTCCAGCCCGTGCTGCGCCCGTTTAGTCCCCTCGATCCGACCGAACAAAACCTGTTTAGGCATTCGGTGGCTGGGCATGCGGGCTACATGACCCAGCAACACACATGCACACACACACGCACACACAAAGACAAGGATCTCTCCCCTGTGGCCTTAGCGGGCTGCGGGGGCAAGTGCCGTTCGTGGTAGTGAGTTGCAGCGGCACCCAAGAAGGCTGGCAAAGACGCACGAGGCGAGTGGGTGGCCAGCACGACGTCCCCGGTCGCCTTTGTCTCCCCGGTGGCGATGTTCACTACACACTGCACTGGGTTCTCATTTGAGGCTGAGTCGGCCTAGGGGAGGCCCAGGACCGGTTCAGGTAATCGGCGGCCGCGTTGGCCGTGAGTGGGATTCAAACTCTGGTCGACTGATACACAGCGCAGTGCGCTAACCGATACATGATCAGGGAATGCACACAAAGACATAAACACACATTTTACACTTACATGCACAGACATACACGCACAACAACAACAACGTAAGTGGCGGTAACATCACCGCAGCGCTTGTGCCACGTGACATGTGAAAGGCTCGCCGTTGGCAGGAGGAGGTCAGGTATTATGAGCTGACTGCTGTGCCAGGCTGGGTGCAGGAGTTCACGGGACAGACCCAGCAGGTGCCATGGGTTGACTGCTGTGCCAGGCTAGGTGCAGGAGGTCACGGGACCTACCCAGGCGCCATGGGTTTACTGCTGTGTCAGGCTAGGTGCAGGAGGTCACGGGACAGACACAGCAGGTGCCATGGGTTGACTGCTGTGTCAGGCTAGGTGCAGGAGGTCACGGGACAGACCCAGCAGGTGCCATGGGTTGACTGCTGTGTCAGGCTAGGTGCAGGAGGTCACGGGACAGACACAGCAGGTGCCATGGGTTGGCTGCTGTGCCAGGCTGGGTGCAGGAGGTCACGGGACAGACACAGCAGGTGCCATGGGTTGACTGCTGTGCCAGGCTGGGTGCAGGAGGTCACGGGACAGACACAGCAGGTGCCATGGGTCGACTGCTGTGTCAGGCTGGGTGCAGAAGGTCACGGGACAGACACAGCACGTGCCATGGGTTGACTGACCGAGATGGCTGGCAGACGCACCACCACCTGTGCCCCACCCCTCACCCCCGCCCGCGACTGTGCCAAGTCGCTGCGCTTCCATCGTCGGTTATTAAGGAGACGCTAATGTTGGCGCGGGGTCTTCGTCTCTCTCTCTTCACAGGCAGAAGGGATCAAAGTCAAACAGGTAAATGGTGTCCCCGCCCCCACCTCCTGCCTGCCACTGCAACACAGAGGTCGCAAACGGGTTTTGATTCCTTACCCATACCCGTACCCAGCTGCACCAGGGTCGCAAACGGGTACCCATATTGTTTGTTGTTGTCACATTGTGACCCTTTGTGCCCCTCTACTGGGCGTCTGTGGGAAAAAAGAGCTTTACAGCTCATCGGATTCCTCGAGTCTAGATTCATCATTACGCTTTTTTAATTTGTATTCTTTAAAAAAAATAATTTAACGTATTTTTTAATTTTTCTGATCTTTGTATATCTTTCGAATCACGGCGCAAATCCATTAGGAAATTTCAGTGAGCGTTCCGCATCGTAATGACGGTGAAGCATTCCACGTTGTAACAATGGTGAAGCGTTCCACGTTGTAACAATGGTGAAGCGTTCCGCATTGTAACAATGGTGAAGCGTTCCATGTTGTAACAATGGTGAAGCGTTCCGCATTGTAACAATGGTGAAGCGTTCCACGTTGTAACAATGGTGAAGCGTTCCGCATTGTAACAACAGTGAAGCGTTCTGCATTGTAACAACAGTGAAGCGTTCCGCGTTGTAACAATGGTGAAGCGTTCCGCGTTGTAACAATGGTGAAGCGTTCCGTGTTGTAACAACAGTGAAGCGTTCTGCATTGTAACAATGGTCAAGCGTTCCATGTTGTAACAATGGTGAAGCGTTCCGCGTTGTAACAATGGTGAAGCGTTCCGCGTTGTAACAATGGTCAAGCGTTCCGCGTTGTAACAATGGTCAAGCGTTCCGCGTTGTAACAATGGTGAAGCATTCCGCGTTGTAACAATGGTGAAGCGTTCCGCGTTGTAACAATGGTCAAGCGTTCCACGTTGTACAATGGTGAAGCGTTCCACGTTGTAACAATGGTGAAGCATTCCGCGTTGTAACAATGGTGAAGCATTCCGCGTGGTAACAATGGTCAAGCGTTCCACGTTGTACAATGGTGAAGCGTTCCTCGTTGTAACAATGGTGAAGCGTTCTGCGTTGTAACAATGGTGAAGCATTTCACGTTGTAACAATGGTGAAGCGTTCCGCGTTGTAACAATGGTGAAGCGTTCCATGTTGTAACAATGGTGAAGTGTTCCGCGTTGTAACAATGGTGAAGCGTTCCACGTTGTAACAATGGTGAAGCGTTCCACGTTGGAACAATGGTGAAGCGTTCCGCGTTGTAACAATGGTGAAGCGTTCCATGTTGTAACAATGGTGAAGTGTTTTGCGTTGTAACAATGGTGAAGCGTTCTACGTTGTAACAATGGTGAAGCGTTCCGCGTTGTAACAATTGTGAAGCGTTCCGCGTTGTAACAATGGTGAAGCGTTCCGCGTTGTAACAATGGTGAAGCGTTCCGCGTTGTAACAATGGTGAAGCGTTCCACGTTGTAACAATAGTGAAGCGTTCTATGTTGTAACAACGGTGAAGCATACCACGTTGTAACAATGGTGAAGCGTTCCGCGTTGTAACAATAGTGAAGCGTTCCGCGTTGTAACAATGGTGAAGCGTTCCACGTTGTAACAATGGTGAAGCGTTCCACGTTGTAACAATGGTGAAGTGTTCCGCGTTGTAACAATGGTGAAGCGTTCCGCATTGTAACAATGGTGAAGCATTCTGCGTTCTAACAATGGTGAAGCGTTCTGCGTTGTAACAATGGTGAAGCATTCCACGTTGTAACAATGTTGAAGCGTTCCACGTTGTAACAATGGTGAAGCGTTCCGCGTTGTAACAATGGTGAAGCATTCCACGTTGTAACAATGGTGAAGCGTTCCACGTTGTAACAATGGTGAAGCGTTCCACATTGTAACAATGGTGAAGCGTTCCGTGTTGTAACAATGGTGAAGCATTCCAAGTTGTAACAATGGTGAAGCATTCCGCGTTGTAACAATGGTGAAGCGTTCCGCGTTGTAACAATGGTGAAGCATTCCGCGTTGTAACAATGGTGAAGCATTCCACGTTGTAACAATGGTGAAGCATTCCACGTTGTAACAATGGTGAAGCATTCCACGTTGTAACAATGGTGAAGCATTCCGCGTTGTAACAATGGTGAAGCGTTCCGCATTGTAACAATGGTGAAGCATTCCACGTTGTAACAATGGTGAAGCATTCCACGTTGTAACAATGGTGAAGCGTTCCGCGTTGTAATGATGGTGAAGCATTCCGCATTGTAACAACGATGAAGCGTTTCGCGTTGTAATGATGGTGAATCATTCCGCATTATAACAACGTTGGGTATTCCGTGTTATAACAACGGCGAGTGTTCCACATTATAACAATTATTGGTCAACCCTTAGAAATCTCAACGTTCATCCTACAAAGTCCCATCATTACAAGGGAGAAACAGAAACAAGTAGACACAAATTATTTTGCCTTTATTGAAACGGCTAAAATTCCGTATGGACCTGAAAACTCAATTTCCCTCGTACAAGAATACGGGGTAAGACCGTATGGGTTTAGACGGATATATTGCGATGCCACCGTTAACTGGGGGACCGCTCTCTTTCACTTATGCACGTACATATATTGATAGATTCCAAATGCGCTTTGCAGCTGTGCCCACCCCACCACCCGTTCCCAACCATTGCATTGAATTTTGTCGCGCGCGCACGCTTGCAGAACGTAGCCTCTTTGTTTCACTTGTGCTTGTCTAAAAGCCTACCCCACCTACCCCCCCCGTGCGTTTGCCGCGGCTACCACCGAATTTCCTTCTACCCGAGTGTAACGCCGCCACCACCGCCACTGCCTTCGCTGCCTCCCCCTCCGCTTCCCCCTCTGACTTGTATCGTCGCAGGAATGGAATATCGTCATTGCGGGCCAGCAGACTCCAACCGGCACCCTATAAACCCAGGTGAGACCTCCACAGCCTTGCCACAAGGCACAAACAAGGCACAAAGACAAAGAATACCCCCCCTTCCCCCCGGAGTAGCCTTAACGGGACCGTTGAGGCAAGCGCTGTTCGTCGTGAGTGCCAGCACCTACGAAGGCCGGCGCTCTGGCACGCGATGGGGTTGGTGGGTGGCTGGCAACGCGCCCGCCCGGCCTTCTTTGTCTCTGCCAGCTGCGATATTTACTACACATCACACTGGGTACTGACTTGAGGCTGAGTCGACCTAGAGGGGAGGCCCAGGACCGGTTCCGATGATTGTCGCCGGTGTTGGCCTCGAGCGGGCATCGAGCTCGGGTCGCCGGGGTCGTAGCGCAGCGCTAAACGCGATGCAGCCTGCCAAACGCACGCGCACGCACACACAACACACGGTGCACGAATGTAAGCAAGCAAAATGAATGAAAGGCGAAAGGAAGGGGGAAAAAAAGACGTCAATTCTCGAGCGCGCCGCACAATCCGCTGCAAGAGCGGTGGCTGCTGTACGGGGCAGAGATTGGCTGCGACCAGAGGTCGCAAACGGGTTTTGATTCCTTACCCGTACCCTGTACCCGGCCGCATCAGGCTCGCAAATGGGTACCCGTACCCGGCCGGGTATGGGTAGCCGTTCCCTACCCGTACCCTACCCGAAATGAGTGACAAACGGCTACTCACCAGTGACTCACGGCCTACCCGTACCCGGCCGCACCAGGGTCGCAAACGGCTACCCGTACCCGTACCCGGTCGGGTACGGGTAGCCGGGTATCGGGTAGGGTACGGGTGTCGGGTACCCGGTTGCGACCTCTGGCTGCGACCGCGCTGGCAGCGTGGAGACGCAGCGATCGGCAAAGGCTGCATCTGTTTTGCCCGACGGATTCTGCCTTCAAACTTTTTGGCATTGCGACGCTCGATTGCGGTCCAAGAATTAAAATAATGAACGCAACAAGCTCAGACGTCGCCAATGTGCGAGCCCTCCCCCGGTTCTACGCGGAGCGCGGATTTCGTCTCCGGGTCCTCCTCCGGTTTTTCCCCTCCACGTTCAGAATCGACGTCTCTGCGTGTATCAGAGCATTTGGCTGCTGCTGCTGCAAATGTCCACGTGACGATGGTGATGATGATATCGGCCATTTTGTTAAAGCTGTCATGACGTGTGGCCCGGTCGCTTCTGAAAAAGAGCTATGTAGCTCAGTGGGTCTTACCTGGTAAAAACAAATAGAGTTTATTAGTCTGGGTGGGTGGGTGAGAGACTGTCTGAGTGAGTGAGTGAGTGGATGGGTGATTGGGTGAGTGAGTGGAAGGGTGAGTTAGAGGTGAGTGAGTGATTGGGTGTTGTGAGTGAGTGGGTGAGTGAGTGGATGGGCGATTGGGTGAGTGAGTGGAAGGGTGAGTTAGAGGATGTGTCAGGGAGTTAGTTGATGGGTTAGTGAGAGAGTGGGTGAGTGCGAGTGAGTGGGTGTGTGAGTGAGTGGGAGAGTGAATGGATGGGTGATTGGATGAGTGAGTGCATGGGTGAGTGAGTTAGTGAAAGAATGTGTCAGTTGATGGGTGAATAAGAGAGTGTGCGAGTGAGTGGGTGAGAGTGCATGAATGGTTGGGTGATTGGGTGAGTGAGTGAGTTGATGGGTGTGCGGTTGAGAGAATGGGTGAGTGGATGACAGAGTGAGAGTGAGTGAGTGTTGGCCGTGATTTTCCTTACGCTGAGTCCCAAGTAGTTCAGAGGTGAGGTGCTCACGAACGGCACTTGCTCCTCCGATGGTGTATTAAGGGCTCCACAAGAGAGTGTGGAGTAGTGATCTTTGTTTTTTGTCACAGCCCTGTGTTCGCCACTCAGTTCGAGACTCACGTGAAGGAGCTGAGCCAAGATTCCAACTACTTATACTCCTTGGAATTCGAGGTGGGTAGGTCGTTACGCGAGCGGAAGAACCACAGATACGGCCGTACACATTGTGTTCAGCCGCCACACTGCAGGTCACAACAACACACACACTCACCCGCTCAGCCACTCACCACACTGCAGGTCACAACAACACACACACTCACCCGCTCAGCCACTCACCACACTGCAGGTCACAACAACTCACCCGCTCAGCCACTCACCACACTGCAGGTCACAACAACACACACACTCACCCGCTCAGCCACTCACCACACTGCAGGTCACAACAACTCACCCGCTCAGCCACTCACCACACTGCAGGTCACAACAACACATACACTCACCCGCTCAGCCACTCACCACACTGCAGGTCACAACAACACACACACTCACCCGCTCAGCCACTCACCACACTGCAGGTCACAGCAACCCACACACTCACCCGCTCAGCCACTCACCACACTGCAGGACACAGCAACACACACACTCACCCGCTCAGCCACTCACCACACTGCAGGTCACAACAACACACACTCACCCGCTCAGCCACTCACCACACTGCAGGTCACAACAAGACACACACTCACCCGCTCAGCCACTCACCACACTGCAGGTCACAGCAACACACACACTCACCCGCTCAGCCACTCACCACACTGCAGGTCACAGCAACACACACACTCACCCGCTCAGCCACTCACCACACTGCAGGTCACAACAAGACACACACTCACCCGCTCAGCCACTCACCACACTGCAGGTCACAGCAACACACACACTCGCCCGCTCAGCCACTCACCACACTGCAGGTCACAGCAACACACACACTCACCCGCTCAGCCACTCACCACACTGCAGGTCACAACAAGACACACACTCACCCGCTCAGCCACTCACCACACTGCAGGTCACAACAACACACACACTCACCCGCTCAGCCGCTCACCACACTGCAGGTCACAACAACTCACCCGCTCAGCCACTCACCACACTGCAAGTCACAACAACACACACACTCACCCGCTCAGCCGCTCACCACACTGCAGGTCACAACAACTCACCCGCTCAGCCACTCACCACACTGCAGGTCACAACAACACACACACTCACCCGCTCAGCCACTCACCACACTGCAGGTCACAACAACTCACCCGCTCAGCCACTCACCATACTGCAGGTCACAACAACACACACACTCACCCGCTCAGCCACTCACCACACTGCAGGTCACAACAACTCACCCGCTCAGCCACTCACCACACTGCAGGTCACAACAACACACACACTCACCCGCTCAGCCACTCACCACACTGCAGGTCACAACAACTCACCCGCTCAGCCACTCACCACACTGCAGGTCACAGCAACCCACACACTCACCCGCTCAGCCACTCACCACACTGCAGGACACAGCAACACACACACTCACCTACTCAGCCACTCACCACACTGCAGGTCACAACAACTCACCCGCTCAGCCACTCACCACACTGCAGGTCACAGCAACACACACACTCGCCCGCTCAGCCACTCACCACACTGCAGGTCACAGCAACACACACACTCACCCGCTCAGCCACTAACCACACTGCAGGTCACAACAACACACACACTCACCCGCTCAGCCACTCACCATACTGGAGGTCACAACAACACACACACTCACCCGCTCAGCCACTCACCACACTGCAGGTCACAACAACTCACCCGCTCAGCCACTCGCCACACTGCAGGTCACAACAACATACACACTCACCCGCTCAGTCACTCACCATACTGCAGGTCACAACAACACACACACTCACCCACTCAGCCACTCACCACACTGCAGGTCACAACACACACACTCACCCGCTCAGCCACTCACCACACTGCAGGTCACAACAACTCACCCGCTCAGCCACTCACCACACTGCAGGTCACAACAACATACACACTCACCCGCTCAGCCACTTACTCACCCGCTCAGCCACCCACCACACCGCAGGTCACAACAACACACTCAGCTACACACTCACTAACCCAGCCACTCTCAACACACCGCAGGCCACGACATTTGCGTCTCTCTGCTTCTTAGCTCCCGCCGCTCCACCTTGGAATCCCCTCCCATTGTCGCCGCTCTTCCCAAATCCTTTTGCTCACCCTCGCCCAAATGATGAAACGCATTTAAAGTTATTCATCGATCACGACTTGGCGCATCGGTGGAGCGCACGCAGCAGCGGCGGCATCGCCCCCTGCGACTGCAAACGCTTGGCAGGGTCCTCCTAAAAAAGAGTCTCGAGACTCCGACGAGGTTCTCCTGGCTTCATGAAAGAGCAGAATAAGGGGCGCCGCGGTGGCTAGGAGATGTTAACTCCCTCGCCTGGTATGCGGGAGGTTGGGGGTTCGATCCCGACCCCTGACGCCTGCTGCTGTATATTTGGAATTTGCGTCTCTCATCATCATCATCATCATCACTGTGGCTCGGAGATGTTAAATACCTCGCCTGGTATGCAGGAGGTCGTGGGTTTGATCTTGACGCCTGCTGCTATACATTTGGAGTTTGCGTCTCTCTCATCATCATCATCATCACTGTGGCTCGGATATGTTAAATACCTCGCCTGGTATGCGGTAGTTGGGGGTTCGATCCCGACCCTAACGCCTGCTGCTGTACATTTGGAGTTTGCTTCTCTCTCATCATCATCATCATCACGGTGGCTCGGAGATGTTAACTACCTCGCCTGGTATGCGGGAGGTTGGGGGTTCGATCCCGACCCTGACGCCTGCTGCTGTATATTTGGAGTTTGCGTCTCTCATCATCATCATGGTGGCTAGGAGATGTTAACTACCTCACCTGGTATGCGGGAGGTTGGGGGTTCGATCCCGACCCTGACGCCTGCTGCTGTTATAGTCTGTCGCCGGGTACAGGAAGGTGTGGAGCACCACTACTCAACACGCTGCCGCCGTGACCCTCAGAGGGACAAGCGGACTGAGAAATGAATGAACGAATGAACGATAACAAATGCACAATGCACGTCTCCCACAGCACCTGAAGGAGAAGGGAAAAAATCAGTCGAAGGACATGGCCCGATTGCCGCAGAACGCTCCCAAGAACCGCTACGCCAACATCTTGCCGTGTGAGTCTTCCTTGCGCACTCCACGTCCGCTCACCGCGTCGCCATCGCGTGGCTCTCGAACGCTCCTCGCGTCCGATGATGGGAAGCCACTGGTGAGCTATTTACGGCGCACTTTGGAATCATCGTCTAGGGTTGACAAGCTCATTCTCGTTGCGACTGCTTCTTGTGCGTGTTAGTTTGGTTGGCTACAGTTTTAAATGGAGATGATTTAAAGGTGCATAGCTCCCAGCGGCTTCTTAATATCGAAAGGACGAGGCCCACAGAGTTCCAGAGGCTCATATAGAACCATAGAGACCCACGGAACCCCACGGAGACTAATAGAGACACCTTAGTCATTTGTATCTATGTATGTTAAACCTCCCTCCCTCCCCTCCCTCCCCCAGACGATCACAACCTCGTTCCACTCAACAAGAGTGGGGGGTCCAACTACATCAACGCAAGCTTCATCTCCGTGAGTCAGCAGTCCGACCGGTGTCCACTCAACCCCTACCGGGTTGAGGAGGCTACAAACTTCACTGGAATGCGATGGAAATGGATTCATCATCATCATCATCAGTGGCAGTGCTCTATTATTAGTGTAGGGCGCCATAGACTCATACAAAGACCCAACAGACCTACACGGAGACCTACAGGCTGGTATTGGTGGTTATGAGGTTATGGCGCTTTAATGATGCTGCTGCAGTTCTTCCTGAAGTGACACTGATGGTTTGATGATGATGGTGGTGACGATGATGATAACGTCGATGGTGATGAGGATGATAGGATATTTATCATGTTATTTTTCTGCCTCTTAAAGACATTTGTTATTGATGATTATGGTCAATCACAATAGTGATGACAATAACAATAGTGATGGCAACAATACTCGTGACAATGATGACGACGATGGCCATGATGACGATGACAATGACAGTACTGATGATGACTATGATGATGACGATGACCATGATGATGATGACCATGATGACTATAACCATGACGATGACCATAACCATGATGACTATGACCATGATGATGATCATGATGATGACAATGATGATGACAGTACTGATGATGACTATGATGATGACGATGACCATGATGATGATGACCATGATGATGATGATGACTATGATGATGACGATGACCATGATAATGATGATCATGATGACTATGACCATGACCATGATGACAATGATGATGACAGCACTCATGATGACGATGACCATGATGACGATGATCATCCTCTGCTCAGGGCTACAGCCGCACGCGCGAGTACATCGCCACGCAGGGCCCCAAGGAGGACACGGTGGCTGACCTCTGGCAAATGGTGTGGGAGCAGAACGTGTACACCATCGTCATGCTCACCGGCGTCATGGAAGGAGGACGGGTGAGAGAGCGAGCGAGAGAGAGCGTGCAAGAGAGAGAGAGAGTGCGAGAGAGATCAAGAGAGAGTGAGAGAGTGAGAGAGAGAGTAAGCAAGAGAGAGAGAGTGAGCAAGTGAGCAAGAGAGCACGATAGAGAGAGTGAGCACGAGAGCGTGAGAGAGAGTGAGAGAGAGAGAGAGTGAGAGAGAGTGAGAGAGAGTGAGCGAGAGAGTGAGCGAGAGAGTGAGCACGAGAGCGTGAGAGAGAGTGAGAGAGAGAGAGAGTGAGAGAGAGTGAGAGAGAGTGAGCGAGAGAGTGAGCGAGAGAGTGACCGAGAGAGTGAGCGAGAGAGTGAGCGAGAGAGTGAGCGAGAGAGTGAGCACGAGAGCGTGAGAGAGAGTGAGAGAGAGAGAGAGTGAGAGAGAGTGAGAGAGAGTGAGCGAGAGAGTGAGCGAGAGAGTGACCGAGAGAGTGAGCGAGAGAGTGACCGAGAGAGTGAGCGAGAGAGTGAGCACGAGAGCGTGAGAGAGAGTGAGAGAGAGAGAGAGTGAGAGAGAGTGAGAGAGAGTGAGCGAGAGAGTGAGCGAGAGAGTGACCGAGAGAGTGAGCGAGAGAGTGAGCGAGAGAGTGAGCGAGAGAGTGAGCACGAGAGCGTGAGAGAGAGTGAGAGAGAGAGAGAGTGAGAGAGAGTGAGAGAGAGTGAGCGAGAGAGTGAGCGAGAGAGTGACCGAGAGAGTGAGCGAGAGAGTGACCGAGAGAGTGAGCGAGAGAGTGAGCACGAGAGCGTGAGAGAGAGTGAGAGAGAGAGAGAGTGAGAGAGAGTGAGAGAGAGTGAGCGAGAGAGTGAGCGAGAGAGTGACCGAGAGAGTGAGCGAGAGAGTGACCGAGAGAGTGAGCGAGAGAGTGAGCACGAGAGCGTGAGAGAGAGTGAGAGAGAGAGAGAGTGAGAGAGAGTGAGAGAGAGTGAGCGAGAGAGTGAGCGAGAGAGTGACCGAGAGAGTGAGCGAGAGAGTGACCGAGAGAGTGAGCGAGAGAGTGAGCACGAGAGCGTGAGAGAGAGTGAGAGAGAGAGAGAGTGAGAGAGAGTGAGAGAGAGTGAGCGAGAGAGTGAGCGAGAGAGTGACCGAGAGAGTGAGCGAGAGAGTGACCGAGAGAGTGAGCGAGAGAGTGAGCACGAGAGCGTGAGAGAGAGTGAGAGAGAGAGAGAGTGAGAGAGAGTGAGAGAGAGTGAGCGAGAGAGTGAGCGAGAGAGTGACCGAGAGAGTGAGCGAGAGAGTGACCGAGAGAGTGAGCGAGAGAGTGAGCACGAGAGCGTGAGAGAGAGTGAGAGAGAGAGAGAGTGAGAGAGAGTGAGAGAGAGTGAGCGAGAGAGTGAGCGAGAGAGTGACCGAGAGAGTGAGCGAGAGAGTGACCGAGAGAGTGAGCGAGAGAGTGAGCACGAGAGCGTGAGAGAGAGTGAGAGAGAGAGAGAGTGAGAGAGAGTGAGAGAGAGTGAGCGAGAGAGTGAGCGAGAGAGTGACCGAGAGAGTGAGCGAGAGAGTGACCGAGAGAGTGAGCGAGAGAGTGAGCACGAGAGCGTGAGAGAGAGTGAGAGAGAGTGAGAGCGAGAGAGAGTGAGAGAGAGCGAGAGAGAGTGAGAGAGAGCGAGAGAGAGAGAGAGCGTGCGTGAGAGAGTAAGCAAGAGAGACAGCGAACAAGAGAGTGAGCAAGATAGAGAGTGTGAGAGAGCGAGAGAGACCTTTTGACTTTCTAAATCACCTTGATTGCCAAAGCACCGGAGCCAATTGCGATACAAAGTCACATCGACCACACCGTCACGTCGCAAAACTACGACCCGCGCGAAACACAATCGGCGCGTCGTCGCCGCCACGCTCGTTAGAACGCGAAACGCAGAACGCCGTCCGCATGGGTGTAGAGGTCTTGACGGGCCCCCCCCCCGCACCGCCACCGTTTAAAGAACCACGCGTCGCCCGCAATCGGAGCCGCGCGCTTTGAGCGCGTCCCCCGAACATTGTAGCCGTCGGTGTCGCCCTGCAGCTGAGAGGAGGCTGCTCGATGATACCGCAGGGGGGGAGGGGGGTGGGGGGCGGCTGCTGCTGTTTGCGAGCACCTGTTTAGGCTCGCCTGGGCGGGGTCAGAGGTCACAGGCGAACGGACCGCCAACAGCCGAGAATCTCAGGATTTCAGGGAGCTCGTGATCAATAAAGGGGTTCTCTCGTGTGGTTAGCCAGAGTCTCAGACGTGTCACCAGTGACTCGCGCGGAGAGATGTAGGTTCACAGACCTGCACAGAGACTCATAGACATGCGTAGTGACCCACGGACTTGGATAGGGCCCCATAGACATACGGAGAGACCCATAGACCTACATAGACTGATTGGTGATTAAATTGGTTTCTCATGCGTAGTGTGTTGAGGGTCTCAGCCTGGTCACCAGTGACTCACATGGAGACCCATAGACTCACATGGAGACCAATAGACTCACATGGAGATCTATAGACTCACACGTAGATCCATAGACTCATACGGAGACCCGTAGACTCACAGGGAGACCCGTAGACTCACACAAGGACCCCTAGACTCACACAGAGACCCGTAGACTCACACACAGACCTGTAGACTCACAACGAGACCCACAGACTCACGCGGAGACCCACAGCCTCACGCGGAGACCCATAAACTCATAAAGTCACCATTGACGCCAAATACAACTGTGACCGTGACATTAAATTATCTTTGCTCCGCCCATCTCTCCCCCCCCCCCGCCTACCCCCAACTCCCACATTCCACACGGCAGGAGAAATGCGCCAAGTACTGGCAGGACGACATGGAGCCCCATTTTCAGGGTGACCTGGTGCTGCGGAAGGTGTCCGAGACCGTTCTGGACGACTGGACAATACGCAACCTCCAGATCTACTCGGTGCGCGGTGCAATCGCGCACGCAGTCAGCGACACGCGCACACACACACACACACACCGGGGTACACACGCGACTGGGGTACACACATACTCTTTGGTTCTTTCAGATAAAGTCACGTAGGTAGAAAAATAATAGATTACGACGTTTCGATCGCAACACAAGCAATCGTCATTAGTGGGACAAACACAGCAAGGAAAAACTGCAAGGAAAAACGGTTGCGGTTGTCCCACCTGATGACAGTTGCTTGCGTTGCGATTGAAACGACGTGACTTTACCGAAAGAACCAAAAAGTATGGATTCCTGCAGTCACGAAAGCTTCAAATCAAGATTGGGGTACACACGTACACAAAGACAAAGATCCCCAATGTAGCCTTAACAGACTGTTGGGGTAAGTGCTGGTAGCGAGTAGCACCTATGGAGGCCAGAATGGCACACGAGGGGGTGGGTTGCCAGCACCACGCCCGGCCGCCTTTGTCTCCCTAGTAGCGACTTTTTTACGCACTGCACCAGGTATTCATTTGAGGCTGAGTCGACCTCGGGGGGAGGCCCCAGGAACGGTTCAGATAATCGTCACTGATGTTGGCCGTGAGCGGGAATCGAACCCGGGTCGCCAGGTTAGGAGCGCAGCATAGCGCTAACCGCTGCACCACTGCTGCACCACCGCTCCCCACACGCACGCACTGGGGTACACACACCCATAATTCATACGTATGCACTCTGAACTTCGTTTGCATCGCACGTAGCAACCCACGCTAATCGAAGGCGGTGGTCCCAGTCGCGTCGCGCGCGAGAGACCTAACGCCCCGGCCGTGACCCAGAGGTCGCAAACGGGTTTTGATTCCTTACCCGTACCCGGCCGCACCAGGGTCGCAAACGGGTACCCGTACCCGGCTGTACCCGTACCCTACCCGTACCCGGCCGGGTACGGGTCGTGTACGGGTATCGGGTACCCGATTGCAACCTCTGGGATGAAGCCATGTTGCAGGCGCGGGTGGGTTGATTCTAGGAACTTGAATTGTGAGAAGAGACAAGACGTTGGGAAATGAGTGACAAACAGTTACTCACCAAGTGACTCACGGCCTGCCCGTACCCGGCCGCACCAGGGTCGCAAACTCTCCCACTCACTCACTCACCCATCCACTAATTCAGCTACTCACTCACTCACGAACTCACTCACTCACCCACTCATTCACCCACTCACTCACTCACCCACCCACGCACTCACCCACTAATTCAGCTACTCACTCACCCACTCACGAACTCACTCACTCACTCACCCACGCACCCACTCACTCACTCACCCACCCACCCACTAATTCAGCTACTCACTCACCCACTCACGAACTCACTCACTCACCCACGCACCCACTCACTCACTCACCCACTCACACACTCACCCACTCACTCACCCACCCACTCACTCACCCACCAACCAGAGGTCGCAAACGGGTTTTGATTCCTTACCCGTACCCGGCCGCACCAGGGTCGCAAACGGCTACCCGTACCCGGCTGGGTACGGGTAGCCGGGTATCGGGTAGGGTACGGGTATCGGGTACCCGGTTGCGACCTCTGCCGTGACATGTCGCGCGACCGCGCCCGCTCCGTTTCCCCGCCGCGCAGAAAGACGCGGAGACGATGGAGGAGGTGCGCGACATCCGGCAGTTCCACTTCACGGCGTGGCGCGACCACGGCGTGCCCCGCGAACCGCAATCCGTGCTCAAGTTCCTGGAGGTCGTGCGCTCGCACGCCAACAAGTCGCCCCAGAACAGCCTCACGCTCGTGCACTGCAGGTAACGTCGCGAGCGGTCACGGCTGTGGTGGCGGTGGTGGCACGGTGGCGGTAGTGGCACGGTCGCAGGGTAGTGGCGGTGGCACGGTTGCACGGTGGCACGGTGGCGGTGGTGGCAGCGTTGGCACGGTGACACGGTGGCGGCAGTGGCACAGTTAATTGTCACAAACAGCTCTCTATGCCCACTACAGTAATTTTATTTCTTACTGTGGTTGTCCCACCTGATGAAGGTGGGACAACCACAGTATTTAATTTAGTTATTTCTATTTTTTATATTTTTTCACCTACGTGACTTTACCGAAAGAACCAAAGAGTACAGAACCATGTTTTTTTTTGCATGTTCACCACAATACATGTGGTTAATGCATAAATGATTCCTTGCAAATTGTTTCTGTTTGCTGTTTCAACATCTTAACACAACTCCTGTTTTATTATGGCCGGAAAGGGTAAGAGCTACTCTCATATTTTGATACTGGCAAGAAAGGTACCATATTACAACAGCACTTGCCCAACATTCCTGCAAAGTCTTCTTGGTTCTTTCGGTAAAGTCACGTAGAAGGGAAATAATAAAATAATACAAATAACACATAATAAAATAATTCTCACGACGTTTCGGCCACAACGCAAGCAGCCGTCCTCAGGTGAAGAACAGGGCTGTCGGAAAGACAGCGTCTGAATGAACACCACCAGGCTTGGCAGCGTATATTTAAGCTGGGTTGAAGGGGGAAGAGCGCCTTGACAAAGGAATTTGCATATGAAGAGGAATTTAGCATATTTATTATTTCCCTTCTACGTGACTTTACCGAAAGAACCAAGAAGATGAATCCCTGCAGTCACGAAAGCTTTAAATCGAAATTCCTGCGAAGCCTATACGGGGAATCTTTGTCTGTGTGCGCGTGTCCGCGCGCAGTGCCGGCGTGGGTCGCACGGGGACGCTGATTGGGCTGGACGTGGCGCTGCAGCAGGTGCAGAAGGAGGACAAGGTGGACGTGTTCCACATCACGGCGCGCATGCGCGAGCAGCGCATGCTGATGGTGCAAACGGAGGTGGGAACCAGCACGCACGCGCGCGCGCACACAAAGGGGCCGTCCATAAATTACGTCACGCACCTGGGGGGGGGGGGGGGGTCAGACATTTGTGACGATGCGTGACGAGGAGGAGGGGGGGGTTTGAGAAATGTGACGTCACTTAAAAATGCGCAACTTTACTTAAATATAGACAACACGTTCTACTTGATTAAATATACTTTTTAATAACAATGACAATAGTTTAAAGCGATTTGAAGCATGTTTTTTTTTGGGGGGGGGGGAGAGCTTTGTGACGTCATATTTGAGGGGAGGGGGTCTGACTTTTTGTGACGCCACGTGACGAGGGGGGGGGGGTCAAAAACAGTAAAAAGATTGCGTGACGTCATTATGGACGGCCCCAAACGCACGCGACGACAACGACGACGACACCAACCGCTGTTTTGCCATGAAGTGGCGTTGACATTACCGCAGCGCTTGTGCCAGGCGAGGTGCACTTTTTGAGGCCGGTCACATTTCAATCTGAGTACAACATTTTGAAGTCCGTGGCTTGGCTCTCCAACACACCGGTGGGTGCTGTGCTAGTGTAATGGCCTCTATACTACACTATACACTACACTCCTATACACTACACTATACGCTACTATACACTACACTATACACTACACTATACACTACACTATACCCTAGTGCTGTACTAGTAACGAATTGGCTACGCTGTGTTTACGTGACAACCCTTACTAATTGGTTGGCTGTGTTGGGTGGTGGCTGGTTTAACGACACATTTATATATTTACACGAACTAACCCCAACAAAAACCTGCATTACGGATGATATTGGTCGCCAAAGCCTACGCGTGAAACAAAAATTTATATTACGAATACATTTTAGGAATCATTTACTAAATGAACAAAAAACGTCTTGGTTCTTTCGGTAAAGTCGTGTAGAAGGGAAATAATAAAATAATAAAACATAATAAAATAATTCTCACGACGTTTCGGCCACAACGCAACGCAAGCAGCCGTCCTCAGGTGAAGAACAGGTCTGTCGGAAAGACAGCGTCGTTATGTTTTATTTTTATTCTTTTATTATTTCCCTTCTACGTGACTTTACCGAAAGAACCAAGAAGATGAATCCTGCAGTCACGAATGCTTTAAATCGAAAAAATGAACAAAAAGTTTAGTAAGCGGAAGCGTTTGAATAGGTTTTTATGGCGTTTAAAAAAAAATGTCCGGGCTCTAGAGACATCCCTGATATCTTATTGGCTTAACAACGTTTTCGTAACAATAGCCTGATTACTAATCTAGTATATAATTACAATAACCCCCCCCTCAAATCTTTGCACCTGACGAATTAATGAGTTAATGAGTTAATGATGACGTCCCCTGCTGCTGCTGCTCTATATAAGAACGGGAGACACAGCAGAGCCTCACCATTCAGGCGAATTGCCGATGATGCTGGATGCAATTACCAGCGAAACGTCGTACTCAAATTGTAAATGTTGTGGTTTCACGCTTCAGCACACCTGTGGGCTAAAGCAGTGAACTATTTGTCTTTTGTCAACGTGACACTTTTTTACTGATTGGCCGTGTCGGGTGGTGGAGGGTTACGACATTTATA